AACTTAAATTGATCAAGATTTAATTATATAAGCAACAATAAAACTCTCAGAAGAAACTTTAGAGCTAAATCTTCATGACCTTGGATTGGGAATGGTTTCTTAGCTATTACAATAAAAGTATAAGCGACCAAGAAAAAGATAATTTGGCTACATCAAAATTAAAAGCTTCTTTGCTTCACAGGACACTATTAAAAAGCAAAAAAGATGAGTCAGGCATGGTGGCTTACACCTGTAATCCCAGCTATTCGGGAGGCAAAGATCAGAAGGTTTTGAAGTTTGAGGGCAGCTTGTGCAAAAAAGTTTGTGAAACTCAATCTCAACCAATAAAAGCTGGGCATAGTGGTGTGTGCCTGTCATCCCAAGTATGTGGAAAGCGTAAATAGGAGGATTTCAGTCCAGGCACATCTTAGCATAAACTTGAGACCCTATTCAGAAATACCTAAAAGCAAAAAGGGCTTGGGGGTTGGCTCAAGTAGAAGAGCATTTGCCAGCAAGTGCAAGGTTCTGAGTTCAAACGCATACTGCAAAAACAGACAAGGAAAAATGACAGCCTTTAAAATGGGAGAAAATATTTGCAAATTATATATCTGATGAAGGTTTATTGTCCAGAATATATAAATAATATTTAGACTGAACAATAAGAAAGCAACCCAATTAAAACATGGGAAAAGGTTTTGAATACACATTTCTCCAAATAACATATGTTAATATGTAATAAACACATAAAAACATACTTAACATCACTAGTTATTAGGAAAATGCAAAACAAAACCACAATGAAATACTACTTCACAAGCACTCAGGTGGATATAATAGCAAAGGTGGAAAATAACACGAGTTGTGGAGGATGTGGAGAAACTGGAACCCTCATGCATTGCTCTTGGGAATGTAAGATGGTGCAACTTCTGTGTAAAACAATTTAGCAAGTCCTCAAAAACTGGAACATAGAGTAACCATATGACCTACCAATGCTATTCCTAGATTCATTGTACCCAAGAGAACTGAAAGCATATGTCCTCACAAAAACTTGTACATGAATGTTCATAGTAGTAACTCATAACAGTGGAAAGGTGCAAACAACCCACATCTTGATCAACCGCTGGATAGACAAAATGTGATATATCACATGATAGAGTATTACTCAGTCATAAAAAGGAATGAGATACCAGTATATAGCACTTCATTAGTCTGTTTTTCTGCTGTCAATAATACAACACCACAGATTGGGTGCATTTTAATGAAAAGCGATTTATTCATAATTCTGGAGGTCCGGGGGGCTGCATCTGGTAATGGCCTTGCTGTCAAAGATACAGAGAGAGACAGGCAGTGTACATGTGTATCCATGTCTCCTCTGATCTCTCTCTCTCTCTCTCTGTCTCTCTCTCTCTCTCTCTCTCTAAGTTTTATTTTTGACAATACTGGAGTTTAAACTCGGGCCTCATGCTCTCTAGGCAAGTGCTCTAGTGTTTGAGCTGTGCCTCCAGCTCTTTTTGCTTTGTTTGTTTTTGGATAGGATCTTGCTTTTGGCCCAGGCAAGTCTGGACTGTGATCCTCCTATTTTATACGTTCTGAGATCTGGAACGAATGAGGGCAGGAGATGTGAGGAAGTAAGTGCAAAGGCCCTGAGAAAGGCCTGGTGCAAATAAAGAGCAGCAAGCCTCTCAGAGGTCACTGGTGGAGCAGGGTGAATGGCTGAGAGTAGCTGGGAATGGTTTGCAAGCAGTGACTGGTGGCTGCATGGGGCTGAATTCTAGGAACTTTGAATTTTGTTCTGTGGGATGGTGAGCCACTGGAGCATTCTGGACAGAGGTGTGATGACCTATCTTGACAGCAAAGCACCACTCTGACTCCTCTGATGAGAATAATCTAGCTGCACAAGGTTGGAACCGAGAGACAAGTTAAGAGGTGACTACATTTTAACAGGCAAGGAAATAAAGAGCAGCAGCAGTGGAAAAAGGGAGAAGTAGTTGGATTATGGATCTCTGTGGGAAAATAGTCTACAAGATTTACCAAAGGGGTGATTGTGGGGTTTGAGAGAAAAAGAATGGTCAAACAGATGCCTCGGTTTTCACTGCCAGCAAATGGGAGGGTGGTGTCTCCACTCACTGGGAGGAGCTTGACTTGGGGATGTTAAACCTGACATCCTTATTAGGACTCCAAGTAGAGCTGGCAGGCAGGCTGTTAAAAAGACATGAAGTAAATCTAAATTTCAAGTGAGAGATAATGGGCAAGAGTTGCCAAATAAAATTTCAAAATAAAAATTCAGGGACTGCCTTTAAAGATTAGAAATGCAATCTAAAATTATTAAATAAAATTGGAGCAAGGAAGGCTAGATATCTGTATAGATGTAGAGATGAAGGAAATGAGACACACCTTGAAACAGTCCCTGCAAATTTTCTTTGCACTGGCAGATTTAACATTTGCAATAAGCCCTAAATCTTGGGTGATGATTCATCTGGAACTTTGTTGAGGTAAGCACTTTTTTACAATGGAAAATCTTTAGTGTTTTATCTCAAAATACTTATTTCCAAAAATTAAAGCAACACGGAAAAGTCCTACCCCCACTCCCTCTAAGCTTTGTGATAATCTGGTCTTAACATCATTCCAGATCCTCCTTCTAAGATAGGTTATGAATTGTGTGCCCTGTGGATGTGGAAGTGTATCACTTAATTGTGAGTGAGCCAAGCTAATGTCTATTGTAGAGATGTGAAAGCATCCTTGTTTTATATTTTGGTCAGATACTCAGTAACCATTAAAATTTTGAACTTGGTGCTTTGTACACCATTCAAGAATATGAATGGTGCCAGTGGCTCAGTCCTGTAACCCTAGCTATTTGGGAGGTTGAGATCAGGAGAATCCTGGTTTGAGGTCAACAAATAGTTCAGGAGACCCAATCTCCAAAACTAATCATAGCAAAATGGACTGGAGTGTGGCTCAAGCAGTAGAGTACCTGCTTTGCAAATGCAAATATCTGAGTTCAACCCCTCCCCCCAAAAAAGTCCCACCAAAAAAAAAGATAATTTGTTAAAGCTGTGGAATAACGTTATTTATATCAAAATTATAACCACAGTAGCTAATAAGCACTGTATCTGTATAGAAAGTCCCCGATGGTACAGCCCTTGCTGACTGCTCTACCTGCATCATGTATTGGAAGCCTCCCTACATTTCTTCCTTTTTTTTTTTTTTTAACAGATGGGGAAACAGAGGACTAGGTAAACCAAACAACTTTCTCATGACTACAAAAAATAGCAGAGCCAGGATCTAAATCCAGATATGGTTAATCACAAAGTCCAAACTCTTTTTTTTTTTGCTGTACTGGGGTTTGAACTCAGGGCCTACATCTTGAGCCACTACACCATCCCTTTTTTGTGATGTTTTTTTTTGACATAGGGTCTCAGGAACTATTTGCCCAGGGCTGGCTTTAAACTGCGATCCTCCTGATCTTTGCCTCCCAAATAGCTACTCCATTTGTTAAAACATCTTCACAAATCCATGGAAAAGGATAAATTACTTAATAATTGGACCTCACTCCAGTTATGCATCAAAATTATTTCTAGCTATTGATGAGTAAGAAAGGTAAAACAAAATCATGAAAAATAGAATATAAATTACATCTTAATTTAAAATTAGAAGGAAATACAGGTAAGTAAGTATAGGTACTGATTTTTCGGTTAAGAAAGGATTTTGGAACAAAAAAGGGGAGGGAAAATAATATTAAATTATCAATAATTTGTGTATCATAATTTAAATCATTTATAGATAACAATTGTAAACAAAGGTGAACTGCAAAGAAGGAAAAATATTTGTCATCTATATGACTGGAAAAGTGCTAATATCCCTAACATCTAATAATGATTCATTCACCAATAAGAAAAGTGGTGACATCTCAACAGCAAAATTGTCAAAGAACATGAATAGAACACTTACAGGAGGAAACAAAAAAAAGGGCGGATAAATTACTCCAAGATATTCACTAATAAAGAGATGGAAATAAAACCAACAAGGACTTCATTCCTTTGCCTTTGAATTTATCAAAGGCGAATGAGAACGGTGAGTGTCTGCCAGGTGTGGGAAATGAGGACCACCACAGACTTTAGCATAAGAGTCAACTGGTGGAATTTGCAGAACTTGGCAGTATGTCACAACACTCATAAAGAGCACCGCCACCGTTTGAGCTAGTCATACCTCTTTCAGAAGTCTATGTGAAGGAGCTAGTCAGCTCGGGAGCAAAGGCAAAGAAGTCTGTGCAATTAAAAGATGCAAGTAAATGAAAAGATAACAATAGAACCCTAATATAAAGGAATAATTCCACCATGAGTGGCCATGTTTTTGAAGACTATTTAATGATATGGAAAATGGTTATTTTATACATATTCAGATATGTATAACTTTATATAATATTAAATTATAAGGGTAGTTGATAAAAGTTCCTGGGTATATGTAAATATTAGTAAGTT